ACTATTCTCTATTACTACATAGTTGTTATGGAAGACAAATAATTCAAAGCAATATTAGGATGGAACGTAAAGACGACTTGTAACGGTTCTTTATGAGTATCCGCTATAGCTAGCGATACCATAAATCGAAAGAAAATAATTGAAGTAATTCGATTGAAACTACGTATGTATTTAGTAAAAATCTGGAAATTCCGCGTTTTGTAAACGTTGCGATGGAAAAAAACAGATTTTATCCTGTCGTCCTGTGTTAGATCTAATTGTTGGCAATTGGGATATGAGCAATGCTATTGAAGACAATATTGTTAAACGCAAGAATTGATCCACATTTTATATATTATATTATACCTTATTACTAGTTGTATTTCATAGTCTTAAGAATATATTGTTATACCTATGTACGTCTTCGTATGTGTGAATCACGCTTCGTTTATCACGTAGCTATCTCGAATCAATATTGTTTACGCTACTTCTTCATGAATTATTGTATTTAGCATATGGTATGGAGACTTGTATCCATTATGACTACATAATTGTTATAACTATCATGGTTTTGTGGGACGACGTTGATGGTGTCAACGAAGTGTGATGATACGTCATATCAGAGTGACTCAGTGTACATCTCGGCTTGTGCATTGTGCTGTCATAACTATTGAAAGTTTAAAACTTTAAACTATTATAAAGTAATGTTATACTATTCTTTAGCTAATGCGAATCAAGTAGACAATTTCAATGTGTAGTTAATACTTCATTTACTTAATCACACTTTCGTAGAACATTCATGAATTATATATTAGTAAGTTTTAAGCGTTTTTATATAACAAACAGATAATATTATAACCAAGCCCACTTGTTATCGTAGATTTTACAACGAAAATAGTTATATACGTATACAAATGTAAGTTACTCATTACGTTAAGGCAACGGTCAGGAGCAAGCGTTAAGTTTGATCAAAACAATAGGTACCTGCGTTTAGTTCGTTGAGATTATAAATTAAAAACTTTTTTATATGAAACTGTCCTTCGTTGTTGGCGCCCTGGTACTCAGGCATAGTACTCAGGTTACCTTAGGTAATTATACTATAATTTACTCGTATAGGTATGCACCTGTAGTTAGATTTTGACACGAATCCTTAGTATCGATAGCCACGATGTAGGTACGTGTAACTAATTACGTGTCTATAATGCGCAATTATGTAGTTATTACGATTGTTTCGTACGTTATGAATTAAATTATAAATTCAATTATATTTAGTGGACGTTATGAATTTCATTTTAGTACGTAATAGTTCATTTATTTGTAGGAATAATTTGTTTAATTTGTATATTGGTTGAAGACTTTGACATTTGTTAACTGTTAAGAATATAATATAACATTCAAATTAATATAAATGCTGTTGTTGTTGTTGCTAACAAGTTATACATTATGTACTCAATACGGAGTGGAGGATAATCGTTAAAGTGGTCACATTGCGGGAGAATTCGACCTGTGTCACGGGATACCTATGTAACGATTTATCGTGATTTGTCTTCTAGATAACGGGCATGGCATGTCACAATGAAAGTGGATGGACTATCTACTTTATTTTAGTACAACCAAAGGGTACAAAGTCAAGTACCATTTATGACCTTTATAACAACTTTTAATATTAGAAAATTTCTATGGGAATTCGCAATAAATCGATGTTTATTAAGTGACATCCATGCCCTAGTTCGGATGGAATATGTTAATGGAATTTGAATGCATGTTAATCTATATAATATGAATAATAATAAATACCTCTTTTGGTAAGTCAATACCGATACTGATTATTTTATTTCCAACTTTCCCTTATCGCTTTAGATAGCATTCATAATTTATTTGAAATTTTCTTCACTAGCAACAGAAAATTATCAACAATTTATTTCAGCCATTTTTTAAAGGGTTCCCCCCTCAAAAAAATAATCCAATAACTTCTCCCACCTGGATGAGGCGGGAGGGAGTGTCAGACTGACTAAAAACCACCCTGGTCCTACTCCTGCACTTCGAGCCGGAGCCCCGGCAACCCGTTAAGTCTTTCGCGGCTCCGTCATCAACAGCCTATAAATCACTGCTAAGCAAAGCCTCTTCTCACACGGAGAAGGTTTGAGCATTAATCACCACGCTTGCTCAATGCGGGTTGGCGATTACAATCTTGTAATTAGAAATTATAAGTCCAAGTTTCCTCACGATGTTTTCCTTTACCGTTTGTCAGTGGTGTCTAGATAATCTTAGAAAGTACATATAACTCTGAAAAAGCTCCGTACCAACAATTTATTTCATCCTAAAAATAAAAAAAAACTATCGGTACTAATATATATAATGCCTGTTATTATAGATATTAATAACCAAAGGAACCAGGACCATTTGAGAACTTTTTGATTGGGCAAAGTGATAAAAATAATGAACTTGCAAGCAAGAAGTAGTAAAACTCGCAAGGTAAGACTTATTGCCTACTGCCACCTGAGATACAGGCAACGCCTAATTCTCCTGTTGTTATATCGTATCCCAAATTTGTTCATACAAAAGTAGTCTCTAAACATCGGAAATACGGTTTTCACATTTTTGCGAAAATATAATATTCTGATTATATAATATTATCTATAGTACATTAAGCATATAAACCTTCCTTAAGAATCACTCTATCTATTAAAAAAAACCGCATCAAAATCCGTTGCGTAAGTAGTTTTAAAATAGCGACTTAGTTTTACACTATGTAGTGATAAAATAAAAGAAAATTATATAACAGTAAAAGCATTTATTAAATATGTAAGATGGATTGATTTGACAATGATTAATATCTGGAATAAATGAATAATATTCAACTCACTATAAAAGCATATCTATCATCTACCTAGTACCTATGTGTGAAAAATGCGTGATTTGACAATGTTAAAAAAGTAATGTTAAGTGAGGTTGACGAAGTTGTAGGTACTTATTATAAATTATATCAGTGGTTGCATATAATTTTTCTTATAATATAATATATCTCACGAATTTGGATTCTAGAAGATACGAAAGCCACGCCGTGCAATACAAATATTATAAACATCTTCAAAAAAGTAATTATAACATAGAATTTAATGTTACATATATAACAAATTATAAAATAATTTTAAGAAAATCGCTAAACTGTTAGCTTTCATATTCAAGATCAATATTTGAGAAGGTTTCAAAGATGTTATAAAATATTTTCTACTTTAATCTTTGGTTAAAGCTAACATTAACTTTAACATTAGGTAGTTGTTCAACATTTTAACGATAAAATTATTATAAAATGTTTTAAGTGAAGAGCTTAAACCGTCATCAAAATTCTATTAAAAGACTGAAAAGATAAAAATTCTATAAAGAAGCGAATAGTAAAATATTGAATGAGAAACTCTTCAGTTAATTAAGCTAAGGATACACTAGAGCACAAATGTCTACATGTATCGGCGACATGTCGAGCGAAGCCGGCCGATGTTGCCTGACATATACAATGACAACGTGCAACTTATGTCTACAGTGACAATGATGACTGCCTCGATGGCCGAGTGGTTGTAAGTGCGACTGCCGGGCAAGGGGTCTCGGGTTCGATTCCCGGGTCGGGCAAAGTATTACTGGGATTTTTCAAAAATCTCAGTGGTAGCACGGAGTCTGGAATTGTGCCCGGTATATGGCAATAGGCTCACCCCCTATTACATGGGACTCATGACATAAATAGTGAAAAGTGGGTGTTACATTGTACAGTGGCATTAAGTGCCGTAATGTGCACCTCTGCCTACCCCTTCGGAGATAAAAAGGCGTGATGTTATGTATGTTATGTTATGACAATGATGTTGCCAGACATGTCGACTAAAGTCCGGTGACGTCGCGCTACTTCACCCGACGGCGATGGCGACACGTAGTGTATCCTTGGCTTTATATTATAACAGTGTGTGTGAGTACATGAGTGATAAACAGGTAGGTAACGCCTGTATACTGAAAGACTACTGTACATACATTATAGATCTTGCAAAATAAATGGGAAGGAAGGTAGGAATTGTTTTTATATTCTTCTTACATATGAAGAACATAAAATCAATTATTAACAGGGATGTGAAACGTTACCTATTCAAAAACGAGTTTAAGACTAAGGGTCTGTTTCACAATATCCGGATAGCCGTTATCTACCAGATAAATTTGAATTAAGAACGTAATTTGTATGAACTATCTGTCACATAAGTTTATCAGGTACTTAGGTATATTTTTTTTTTTTTTTTAAGGGGGGAAAATCATCAAATGACTGCTCCCGCCTGGGTGAGGCGGGAGGGAGTGTCAGACTCTTGCTGACTAAAAACCACCCCGTTCCTTCTCCTGCACGTCGAGCCGGAGCCCCGGTTACCCGTTAGGTTCTCCGCGACTCCGAATCGGCATCGGCCCTATTGGGCCCCATCTGTGGTGGTCTGATGGCTCTTTGAGGCGCGCGCGGAACGCGACGCGCCGTACGCTCGGGTCTGTTTCTGGTCGGACGGGGAGCCACCCATGCTCGCCGTCCGCAGGCCCGCGCTTACGGTGGCCGGAGATCGTCCCGCGATCCCCGACGCCCGGTGTGTCCTTCGCGATGGCTGGGTTGCGAGGAGGCAGCGCTTCGCTGCCTCACGCGTCCCGCCTCCTCCTTAGCTAGCATGACTGCTTCGCAAAAGGAGGAGACGGCATCCCAATCCCCCTCGCTCCGCATCATGGCCTGCACTAGGCCCGGACGCGAGAGGTCGCCATCGCCGATCACTTCCCTGAGGACACGGCGGTGCTCAGCCCACGAAGGGCATTCTCCCACCGTGTGTTCCACCGTGTCCTCAGGGCGGTCCTCGCAGTGATGACACCCGGACGTTTCCTCCCGCCCCATCAGACACAGGTACCTCCCGAAACTGCCATGTCCGGTGAGGACCTGCGTCAGGCGGTAGGTGAGGACACCGTAGCGTCTCTCAAGCCACTCCTCAAAGAGGGTACTTAGGTATATAGAGGTGGTGAAACCGGCGCTAAATGTCACAGTATGTAGTATATGTTAACAATATAGTGGCCTTAGTGGGGATAGTTATTGCTACACGGGCCCAGGCAATGAGGGTCCTGAAAGAACATACATAATATAAGGACAAAGTTTAAAAGTCGACGACGGAATGTTGATGTTTACTCGTTCTTAGGCCCAGCTTGATTCGAATCAGGGGCCCCCTTACCCTAATCCGACCCTGTAAGTATCTATCTACAGTTACGTATGTGTGCACCTAAATGTGCTTGTAAACGCGCGTGTGCATGTATGCTTGTGACCTAACTTCAGATTGCCTAATTTTTACGTCACACCTCTGCCCTCTTTCTCCGTGTTACAAATCTAATACTATCAGGCCTAAATACATAAACAATCGTGTTTGTACAAAACGCCATCTATCGGCAGACAATAGAAATAAAATACGCGTAAGTAATGGGTATAAAAACATTGGCAATATTTCATGTAGTTTCTAATATAATGGCAGTGTTGAAAAATACTATTAATTTAGTAAGTTTTAGCCTTATGAATTAGTTAATAATATTGACAAGTTTTCTATTGGTAGCCAACTTGGTCCATGCCGGTGTTTAAGCTGTAGTTGCGATACATTCCCGCTGCCGAAAGCCTGTTCGTGAACGTCTGTCCCGCGGGGAAGAACACAGATGGCACTGAATAGTATCCTGTAAGAAAATATTTATTGCATAAGAAATGCTCCACATTGTATAGCCACAATTATTGGTTGTTTAGAACATGCACTTAGATAATTTGTTTCATTTTTAAAATTTTGTTTCTTTAAGGAAACAATCAGTTAAATGCTTCTTAAGTACACTTTTCAAAGGTATGCTAGAGCTATGAAAGAACCTACAACAACTCGTGACTATTTATTGTAAGCGGAAAGTAATCAAAATTCTTCGACTATCAGTGTCTTACATGCAAGCTGTGGTAGTGATCAGTGATCAGAAAAACCAGGAACAACAACTGTGGAATCTAGAATTGAACAAAACCAATTCAGTGACGAAATCATATCCGCTACATGTTTAGTCGCAGTTGCTTTGCTTTGCTGAGCGTGCTGTCAATTGGCTATGTGCAAAGCGAGTAGTGGCGGACAGATAACGACCGCAGCGCACAACACGGCAGAAATTGGAAACAAATGCGGGTGATGCAAGCCCGGTTTTTATTATTATATTCATTTTACAGTAAAACTATTGAATAAATTGCACTTAAACTGTCAAACACCAAGCGGTCACCGGTGACCGCAACCTATTGTTCTATAATTGAGTCTACAAAACCGGTACTCGACGAGTTAAATAATGTCAACAATACTATTTTATTTATTTATATTTGCAAAGAAAATTATAATGTTTACATTGTTATTATTTGACAGCTTCCGCAAATGTTGTAAACGCTACGCGTCGCCACCGTCACGCACATACCCAATAGTAACACTTATTCCTATGCAAAATAACAGATTATAAGCAAATTAAATGAAGCAAAAAGTCCTAACTTATAATTTATTAAAGCAACTTAGGCCGGATTTTTCAATCAACAGATAATTCTTAACTTTTTTTTTTATGGCATAAGCGTATGGTGAACGAGCAGACGGATCACCTGATGGTAAGCAATCGGCGTCGCCCAGTGACACCTGGAACACCAGAGACATTACAAGTGCGTCACCGGCTTTTTGGGGATTAGGAGTTTGAGGATCGTTGGGGATTCAGGGATTGGGGAGATTGGGAAAGGGGAAGGTATTTGGGCCTCCGGTAACCTCACTCACACGACGAAACACAACGCAAGCGTTGCTTTACGTCGGTTTTCTGTGAGGCCGTGGTATCACTCCGGTCGAGCCGGCCCATTCGTGCCGAAGCATGGCTCTCACACACTTGAATTAACTGTAGAATAAACATCAACAGCCTATAAAGTGGCCATTTGAGCATTAATCGCCACGTTTGCTCAATTCGGGTTGACATTTTCAAACTTATGATTAGAAATTATAACTTTAGGTTTTCTCACGATGTTTTCCTTCACCGTTTGTCAGTGGTATCAAAATAATCTTAAAGTACATAATTATAAGTCGGAAAAAGTCTCATTGGCATTTGCTCTTGGTAGGCTTCGAACCCGCACCCACATGCATGAGAAACGGGCGTCCTATACCTCCCCGCCTGAGGAGTGGCTTGACAGACGTTACGTTACGTTACGTTAGGCGTCCTCACCTACCACCTGACGCAGGTCCTCACCGGACATGGAAGTTTAGGGAGGTACCTGTGTCTGAGGACCGCCCTGAGGACACGGTGGAGCACACAGTGGGGGAATGCTCGCGTGGGCTGAGCACCGCCGTGCCCTCAGGGAAGTGATCGGCAATGGCGACCTCTCGTGTCCGGGCCTAGTGCAGGTCATGATGCGGAGCGAGGGGGACTGGGATACCGTCTCCTCCTTTTGCGAAGCAGTTATGCTAGCTAAGGAGGAGGCGGGACGCGTGAAGCAGCGAAGCGCTGCCTCCTCGCAACACAGCCCTCGCGAACGACACCTTAAAAAAAAATACCACCCCGCCACCACGACTCTTATACTGTGGAATAAAATTGACATTTGACAGTTTTTAATACGGAAGAATGATCTTCGAAAATCGACCCTTAAACGAACACAAGCTTGCTTAGCAGTAATACTATAAAGATAGGCTTAAACATAAAAATTGCGCATTAAATTAAAAATACTAATATTTGCTTATTTGTTACTATGTGTTTAGAATACATGCAGAGTATAAATGCCTAATAATTTGATCAGGTACATTGTCACCAATTTTATTAAACGTTTGATCGATCGGCCCCCGTGTTCAAGGAATAATTCCGGAACATTCCAGACCTTTGCAATGCCTCAGAGAATGATTGCCTTAGAGGAAAATAGTCAGAGCTAACTGAATGCCAACCTAAAAAATAGACAAAAATAAATAACTCGCTAAACATAAAAAAAAAATCAAAATCAAACCCGAGAGAAGTTATATTCTTTAAAAAATGTATTCAATTATTTTAATCATTTTTAATTTTTATTTTTCCGATTTTATTATTATTTTATGCGATTTTATTATTACTTTGTTGCATTTATTTGAGAAAGGAAATGAATGGCATAAATATAAATATATTTTTATTTTATAGTTTATTCCAACATTCCATTTGTTTACTATCTATGATACCTACATGGAAAGGTTTAAAAAAATAGCTACCTTACTACAGATGTAGTTTAAAATGCATATAGTACTTAAACTGCTGATTGTATTTTTATAAAATGTAGCCTAGAGTCACTGCGATATAGGTAAGTATGTATAATAAGGCTTTTGATTAAAATCACTCAAAAAGTCGGTTCATTCAGGTTCATTCCTTCTGGAGCTACCATGCCAGAGACAGGGTCACAGGGACAAAAAAACAGGACATACATATTTTTCCACAATCTAATGACGTAAAACTTCAAATACTAAATAAAATAGAATTAATTAGAAACCTTTTGTCAGTTTATAATTGTGTAAAAAAAATTGAAACTTTCTTAGCCTTTATCTTGAATGCAATGAAAGTAACACACGAAATTCTTAATTAGGTGCATAGGATAAGCCCAGCGGTAAATTTTGAAAAAAAAATACTTATTATCTGCACCAACAAAGAAACAGTTCGTGTTTGTGGTATTTAAAAAAAAATATATTCTAATTAAGCTTGAAATAAAATAAATTTATTTACCTGGGGGATACCACCCATATTCATTGGAACTGGTTCTATAAAATGGATGTTGCTTGCTTACTTGACATCCATAGCCATTGAACCAATCTGTAACGAATAACAGAACAATAATTAAGTAAAATATAGCAGAAAATAACTATTGATAAGCTATAGATACTAACTAAACCCGCAAGTATTTTCTTGCTGTCTTTTTATGCTGATCTTATGCTGATCTGTAGTACGATGAATTCGTCGAATGAAAGTCGTGTTTTCTGCAAACTAAGTAAATAGCTATATCCTACCAAAAAACATTCTGTAAAAAACTAGCCAAGTCTCGATGGAGCTGCTAGTTTATCTCTAAAAAGTAATGAAATATATCAAAGTCGTGCCAAGTCTAAGGTTCCTTATTGCGATTTCGATATTATTATAGTTAATATTGTGTGACTTTGCCGTTAAAGATTTTAAGTATGTAATTATAGCTTACTAGATGACGAAAATTTCTGCGTTCTTGTCTTATCCAAAGGTTCTCAAATAGGGGCCTGAAAATGCGGCGTAATGGTTCCAGTAAAGGATGGTACGGCAGTGTTTGCTTGGCGCTCGACTTGGCGGGGACACTGCCGTGCCCCCAGATTACTTTTAAAATCTGATTGCTAGGACTAGTGTGTTGTTGCTACCTATTTAAAGTTACTTGATAGCTATCCCTAAAGTCCTTAGACTAATTTCAAACTACATTATTACATACACATTAAAAGAAACACATTTCGTTCCAAGGCATTTCCAAAAAATTCAAGCTCGGTGGTCTCCTAATTAGGTATAGGCACAATACAAATCAATTCCAAGTCATTCAGTTCGACCTAAATGTAATATAAGTATTCTGTACAATATAAAATGAAGAATACAATATGCGAACAAAGTCTTGAAAACGAAGGAACTATTGAAAGTGTTCATTCGTGTATAAAATACGGGATTCAAGAAGCATTTCGCTTCCATTATGTAAGTTAGCACGTGCTAAGGTTCAGAATCTCCAGTAAGATGTGGAGATATATTTTCATTGTAGCAAAATGAGAGTTGAAAGTAGAGAATGTAATAAATTATTCCACGTCTGTAATCCCCGGGTAAGAAGTATTGCTGAAGCTACTCGTTCATTCTCGTTTATTCATTATTGATTAGGATGGTACCCGCATTGTTTTTAACGAGTATAGTTAAAAGATCAATGACACTATTAAGTTTTTCAGCGTACATAAAGTAAAATTGTTATCGTCAACCTACCAGTTACATTTTCTTATACGGTTCTCCAAGAAGTCATAACTTTTACAAGTACATATGTATGTATAATATAGGTATCTAAAATATGTAAACATTTACATAACACGCAGTATTACGAAATTCAATATTCATAAATCATGACCTAGATTAGAGCATAGAATACTGAGTTTTTCCTTAAACAAAAAAGCGAGTTTATTTGTCGATAGCAAAAACTGAACTGTAGGTACATCATTTTTGGTCCTATTGTAGAGCATTTTTTTTTTTTTTTTTTTTTGGGACAAGCCC